TATTTTAATTTTTGGCACATCTCAGCTGCTTTTCGGCAATAATAATGTAGACATTTCATTCTTCTTATTTATAATTATAAATTTATTATACATATTCTAATATTGTCTAGGCTTGTAAGTAAATTGAAATTTTTGGCAGATGATAGTTTTCATTTGTTTTCAGTGCAAACAATGACATGTCGTTTTTTGCAATATTTTTCATTTATTTCTACAATATTGCACATACATACCAGTACTTTATAATCACATATATCCTAGAGAATTTCCTTAATAAAAACTGCAGAAAGATTTATCAAAATCCGAATAATCGTTTAGAAGGAGTATACAGTGATTGTTTTATATAATAGCAATAAAGCTCAAATTGTTTCTACGTTTTAGTTAGAAAACGTTTGTATGTGAAAAAGAAAAGGGCTGTTTTTAGGGTTTTCCCGGCAATTATTCGATTTTTTCTCGCTGTAAGAACAATCCTTGGACTTGAACGAACATTTTTAAAAAAGAATTGGCCAAATTGGTGCAGGCGTTGTTGAGTTATGCGCTTACCAACACATTTTTCAATACATTTTTATATATAAGAAGATTATAACACCCAATTTTTATATTTTCACTTTTGATTTAGATCTCGGGTTTGATATCTGCCTCGAACAGCCTAATGTCGAGCAGCAGTGACATCGGTTTTCACTTGGAAATATAGATAGCAATATGTTATTATGACGGAATCCTTTAATTCTATCCTTTCTTAATTATTTTGTTATTGGGCCCAGCTTAACTTCATAAGCCGGTCCTCCAAAAATTCAAATTGTTTTTCTAATATGTGCGTTATATCGAGTGTGTTTCTGCAATTTAATTTATACTCGCCGGGAAGTACCTTAAAGGGCGAGTTAGAAAACAAAATGCAAGACGATTTAACACGGACGAGGATCAGGAGCGCAGCAAACAATTTTAGTTGTGTAAGAGGGACATTGTGTTTTAAGGCGGTATTCTAGTGTAGAGCGATGAATTTTAGGTCACTTTTAAAGTGTCGTAAAAGAAAACAATGAAGGTTTTAACTATCCATTTCTTTACCACTTGTTTATTAATATTATTAAAATACAAAACAAAAATTAAACTAGCTGTAAGTGGAATTCTGTCTTAAGGCAATTAAGGCATCGTGCCTTAAGGCAAATTGCTGGAACTTCCCGTACCAAAAATTATTATTTTTTAAAAACAATAACATTTTTGAAAAAAATTACTTTGAAAGAATAAGCTTTTTGAGAAACTATAATTGGACAAAAAATAACTTTTTTTTGAAAAAAAAAAAATTTTTTTAAAAACAATTTTTTTTAATTTTTTTTTTTTTTTGAAAAAAATTTTTTTTCTTTATTTTGACATATTGTAGAAGATCTGAACTTTTTTTCAAAGCAATCGTACTGCTTTAACTGCATAGGGACAAAATATAAAGCGCGTAAGCGCCGCGTCGCTGTCTAACGCATAAGCATTGGTACGGAACCCATAGAAATGTTAACAAATGTATACTTATTGTTAAAATCTCTATAAAATATCTGATAATTTGATGTGCATATGTCTAATGATCATTTTTGACCGCCAAATAGCTCATTTTTTTACTTTTTCCTCCATATCTCCGAAACCGCTAGACCTACCTTCATGAAAATTTTATCGATTCTTCATCTTGTCAATACAAGTGAAATGTTTTTTGAATTATTCAAATCGGACGCTCCGTTCTCTTAAAAAACTGAGTTACCGTTTTCGGCACTTTTTGCCCCGTATCTTCGGAACGGCTAGACCTGCCTTCGCCAAAAACTAATCAGCACGTCTCCTTATCAATACGAATCGAATGTTCTTTGAATTATTCAAATCGGTTGATCCGTGTTCCCGAAATCGTCGACGAAAATTTGTATCCGCACATACATACACACACGTACATACATACACACACACATACACACACACATACACACACATACACACACACACACACACACACACACACATACATCCATTTTTTCTAAGGTATGCCAAAATGTTCAGAAACCTTTGAAACGTAAAGATATATAAAAATTTTCATTTTCGATTTTTTTGCGATTACTATAACTTACCCTACGGGAAGTTAAAAATAAAAAAGTTGAAAATTGAAAAAACAGGCAGCTGATAAAGTGGGTGGTCTCAAAAAATTGGCACCTCAGTCTTCACATGATTTTAGCCCTCCTACTCATCCGAAATAAAAGAAATAAAAACATTATTAATCTACAATGATGTCGCAATCGCCCGAACTAGCGATGAGTAAAAAAAATTACAAATTGGCGACTGTTTGAAAAAAAGTATCTTTTTTTTACTGTTTTTTGAGTATCTCGATTTTTTTTTAAATATAGTAAAAATTGGAATTTGGGGATGATACTAGTTCGGGCTACAGATAGGTCTATAATCAAGACTTTCTGAACATTTCAAGTAAATCGGTCAAGTAGAACTCGAGAAATCGTGTCAACAGTTCTGAAAAGGTCTGTTCTGAGAAAAACGCATTTAAAGTTTTGCGTGAAGCTTTTTGCTGTCAAAGTCATAGAATGATATGTTATACTTCTTTTATTTAATCTGCCATTCCTGCTTGCATCGGACCTTCGTCTACTTCAAGAAAACTATTTAACCTTCTGGCCCAATTTGCATTACCATAAGGGTTGTCATTTTTAAAGTCGGAAAGAAATCTTCATTGAATATGCAAACAGCAATAAATGTTGCTATTTCAATTACCCGAGATCGGGAATAAATATGTTTCGGCGCGAAAATCCATATCAACAAGTTTAGAGATTCATTATTGATCTGAGTTTCTGAACCTATACATTGAATTAATAATTCATCTGACGTTGAACTGTCTTAAATTGGTCTAATGACTTCCGAATGCCTTTTGTCCGATTAGACCCTGCCAAACCAGTTTGGAGACCGGGTCAGTAAAATGCCTATATCTCCGAAACTAATTCAAATTTTCAAAAACCTTCTCGTACCCATATTCTTAGATAGCTAAACTTTAAAAATGTGAAATGAAAAAACGATTTTTTTTTCACTAGAATACCCCCTCAAAGTAATATAAGTACATGTGATTTATAAGAAATTGATATTTTAGTAAGTTATTTCAGACCAAGAAATATGTCGACATACAAAATTGCATCAAAATCATCGAGTTAGTTCCAAATATAGGCGTTTGGAGACTCTGATTTGTCTCATCATTAATGCAAATATGAACAAGATGTAAAATGAGAAAATGAAAAAAAATAATGTTAAATATTTTTTGCAAATTTTGTCTTATTAGATTCAGTATGGCTTGAACCCCGAAATATGAAAATAGCAAATCGGATTTTCTGGCGGAAACAACTCTCCTTCGGGAACTTTAGAATGCTTTTTTCATACAATATCCAAGAACCTTCTGAAGAATTTACATAGTACTTCTAATACTATGCATCACTTGTGTAATAGTGCAAATGTGTGCAAATTTTTCAATGTTGAACGATAATTCGTTAAAATCTTTTTAATTTTTCATATGCTTATTTATTAATAAAATATTTGTTTGCAGTTAAAATAATTTTATAATTACTTGACGCGAAAGAATTTCAATCCGCGTATTTATAATTTTTTCAACAAATTCGTAATGCGTGCAGAAATTGTTTGAAAATTTTTAATAAAATTGCTGATGTTTCATACATTTTTGTCATTTTTAAGATTTACTGAAGCGCGTTTAAAATTAAATAATAACACAATGGAATTCTTTAGAAAGTTGAAATAAATATTGATGGTAGAGTTGTTGAAAACGATACATATTTGTTAAAATTTTATGTTTGGGTAATGTAATTAGTCATTAATTTTAACATTTATTAATCGTTTATTAACAGCACTTTATTTTTCCAAGGACGTGTAAGTGTTATTATCTCTAAGGGCATCATTAATTGTATATATATAAATTATATATGAGGTTTATTATTTGAATATATATAGATGTAAAATATAAATTGCGTATATTTTAACGCTTCGCCTAAGTACATTTAAAAGTAATTGCGAAAAGTAACTGTAATTTTAACATTAAGTACAGCAAAAACAGTTACTTACTTGCCTTCCTACGGATAGATAGAGATTTCATCAAAACAAAATACATACATTTCATATAAGCATAAACAGACATACGCACACATATGAGTATATGATAGAGTAAAACTTGTATAAACTAGTTGGAACGACTGTCATACGTTTCGACACTGGATGTGTGCCATCATTCAGCAAAACTTTATACTAGACGTTGAATAAAAACAGTAACAGTTATATATTTATCTATGTATTCAACTAGTTATTTTTCTAGTTAGTTATCTTATTATCTATTTATCTATTTATATATATATATATATATCTATGTAATTTTCTTAAATAAATAATTTAATTTTTTATTACAATTTATCTGTGTGTACTTTCTATCGGTTTATATTTTTTGTATTTAATTCTGTTTTTCTGCTGCTGGAAATTTCATTTAAATGGTCTTAAAATTTTAAATTATAATACACCGATAATGAGACAAACCTAGACTCGAAACGTTTGTAAAATTAATATTATTTAGACATAAAGAAACATAATGAATTTGAATGGCGCGCCAATGTTAAATGTGAAAGCGATATGAGAAGTGTCTCATCTTTCTGTAACTATACTCTATGCTCCAAATGTCAAATAATAAATTTAATTTAAGTTGAAATCATGGTATTGAAAAGGATTGTTGATTAAACTAGGTTATTATTTAGCCCGCGCCAATTTTGGAATTATTTTAATTATTTCGTAAGTGAGTATAAGCAGTTAAAATATTTAAAAATGTCAGAAGAAACAATTATGTCAATGAATGATCCGGCAATCAAAATTGAACCGCCAGAATATTTAGAAGAAGACATTAAACACGAAATTCAGGATGATATTGATGTTTCTAATGATTTTGTTAAATCTGAATCGTGTTCTGAGGATGATGAACCTGTTTAGAAAGATTCATGAACTCTGAAGTGACAATCGAAGAAGAAGTGAAACAGGAGTTAGTCGAGCCAGCAGTTTATGAATGTGACATTTGTGATCAATCATTTGCAGAATCTGATCAATTAAAAGAGCATATGGTCGATCACAAGCCTAGTAATAGCAAAGAACGCCCTTTAAAATGCGAAATCTGTCATAAGACTATCAAAACAAAACGTTATATGAAAACTCACATGCTTTTGCATAGCGGAGAACGCCCCCATAAATGCAGTATATGCAATAAGACATTCGCACAATCAAGTTATCTGAAAACACACATGCAAATTCACAAAGGAATACGCCCTCATCAATGCAATGTTTGTAACAAGACATTACGGAGTTAAGAAGTCTCAAACGTCACATGCTTATTCACAAAGGAATACGCCCTCATCGATGCAATGATTGTAATAAAACATTCACACAATTCCAACATCTGCAAAGACACATGCTGATTCACAAAGAAATATGCCCACATCGATGCAATGATTGTAATAAGACATTCACACGATTCGATCATCTGAAAAGACACATGCTTATTCACAAAGGAATACGCCCTCATCGATGCAATGTTTGTAATAAGACATTCACGGAGTCAGGTGGTCTCAAACGTCACATGCAAATTCACAAAGGAATACGCCCTCATCCATGCAATGTTTGTAATAAGACATTTGCACAATCCGGAAGTCTCAAACGTCACATGCAAATTCACGAAGGAATACGCCCTCATCGATGCAATGTTTGTAAAAAGACATTCACGGAGTCAGGTGGTCTCAAACGTCACATGCAAATTCACAAAGGAATACGCCCTCATCAATGCAATGTTTGTAATAAGACATTTGAACAATCCGGAAGTTTCAAACGTCACATGCAAATTCACAAAGGAATACGCCCTCATCAATGCAATGTTTGTGATAAAACATTCACACAATCAAGTAGTTTGAAAAACACATGCTGATTCACAAAGGAAAACATGGCAATTTATAGTCGAAAATGTAATAATAATCAATGAAATGTAAACATTTCTTAAATTGAATTTAAATATTAGGAAAAAGGTTATAAAATATTATTTTCAAATATGTAAAAGAATGTATAAATAGTATAAAATAAACAGTAAACATCACATTACATTAATTTATTGTTAAACCAGGCAATTGTTGCTTATTACATCACTTTTGTTAGCGAAATATATTGTGTGAATGTTTGAATCTATGTTTGAATATGGCGCGGATCATGACAGTCCGTGCGGTTGGTTGGTAAGACTTGAGTTGTGTGTGTAGTTGGCTATATTGACAGTACGAACAGAGTGAATGTAGGCGAGTCGGAAACAGAGTTGGAGATATTATAATAAAAAGTTAAAGAATACTGCACCGCGTTGTTTAATTTATAGAGTCCTGACAATAATTAATTATAGAGAATATAGACAATACTTTATTCATTCTTTTTTAGCTTCCCGTAGGGTGAAATGATCATGTTTTGAAGGTTTCTAAACATTTTGGCAACCTCAGAAAAAATGGATGTGTGTGTGTGTGTATGTATGTATGGATACAATTTTCGGGCGCACGGGTCAACCGATTTGAATGATTCAAAAAACATTCGATTCCTATTGATAGGGTGATGTGCTGATTAGTATATGGCAAAGGCAGGCCCAGCCATTTCGAAGATACGGAGCTAAATGTGCAAAAAATGGCAGTTTTTGAAAGAACTAAGCGTCCGATTTGAATTATTCGAAAAACTCTCTGCTTGTTTCAACAAAATAATTGCTTTTGGAAAAAAAATGGTTTTTTTTCAAAAAAAATTTTTTTTTCAAGGAATTTTTTTTTTTGTATATCGAAAATAATTCAGATATTAATACTTTTTCTGAACGATTATTCGGATTTTGATGAATCTTTCTGGTGTTAGTTAAGGGAATTTTTTAGGATGTATGTGATTATAAAAATATAGTAATATTGTAGAAATAAATGAGAAAAATTGCAAAATTTGACATAAAAAAAATTGAACTTGAACTGTAGACGTCGTGGGTACAGGACCAAGTCTGTCGGGTCATCTAGTATATATATATATGTATATATATATATATATATATATATATATACCCAGACAGCACGAGACATGCCAGGGAATGTCCCACTTGTCCTCACAATCTCCTAATATCGCGATATCCTATGAATATCCTATGAATATGCAACGGGACGTCTCAAAACCAAAGGACTCGAGCAGGTATAACGCTCGATTCACGAACATGTCGCTCTCGTACGCGCACGGCTTGAGACCTCTAAACGTATATGTTTGTCCCTTTCTCTTTCGTCGCGTCAGTTTTGCGCCCTTTAAGGTTAGGGTTAGCGTCATCAAACAGACGCTTCGAATTATCATAGTTTTTGGGTAATTGAGTAATAATAGTGAAAATTTTATTTGTTCTATATAATTATATGAGCGTGTGTTATAAATAATTAATATTATCTATCAAAATACTCAAAAATTGTGTAATAATAGTGGAAATTTTATGTGTTCTATAAAATTATATGTGCGTGTGTGTTATAAATATTGCAGCCAACATATTGAAAAGGGGCAGATAAAACGATGGTAATTAAAGCTTTCTGTATACTGTTATTTGAAATACTATGTTACTAGTACAAATAGAATTTTTAATTTAATGCTGACATTTCTACCCTGCCAGCTGTTTGAAAGATGATTGACAAAGAAGAAATGCTCTCCACTATGTTTGTTGGAGGAGCTTCAACTTGTGGAGGCTATATTTCTGAGCAAAGATATCAAAACACAATTGGTAATCAAAAGTTTATATAGATTTATTTTTATTTGTTAACTTTATCATATACTAAACAAACTTTCTCTTTAGATTCTGTATTTAGCCATCAGAGTCCAGCTATGAAAATCCATTTTTGATGATGGTTTGGCCAAAGAATTTTGCTAGGGACGAGGAAAGGGCAAAAATAAATTTTGTGATCTAGTGCCTTGCGATGTCGTCACAGGTAATTTATATATCTTATACTTATGATGTGTTGTAAATTATGAATTAAACTAATATATAATTAATTCCAGGAATTGCTTTGAAAAATTTGCCGCATGAGACATAGTTTACTGTTTCAGAGGCTGCAAAAAGCTGGCTGCGACGTGCCAATAAATATTATACAAGGTATTTTGTGAGATGTGTACTATAAGTTTTTCCTATTTACAAAAAATCATGATTATTGACTGGTTAGTTGTATCAATGTTAGTGCAAAATTTGTGCTGTGTACACATTTTTAGATGTAAAAAACCAAGTTTAATATTCACTCGTAATGACATCAAATTGTGTCGATATATTTGGAATTAGAGATTATTTTATAAATCTCTGTCTATTTTGATTGATGTATCGCTCTTAAAGAACTTACTCATATATATATATATATATATACATATATATGCATTTATTCATTTGTTTTCTATTTCAGGAGAGAAAATCAACCATGAACTAGGATTGAATGCCGAATTAATTATATTTTTAATATTGTAAAATAAGTTATTTTGAATTAAAGTTGTATATATTAAATTTTGTTATAAAATTATCTCAGGATTTTGTTATTTTGTAATAAAAGTTTACTTTGTGAAATTGTGTTCTTTTATTTTATTTTTAATCCAAATTTATTTTTCATCTAAAAAGTAAAAAACAATGCCATAATTATATATCCTATTCATGTCCGGTTTATGTCCGGAATATCCCGCGCGGGATATCCTACAGAACGTCCCATAGGTGCGACATATTAACATGTTTCGGATAAGATCAGGATAAGCGGGATATCCGTAAGGCTATCGCAGGGACAATGAATGTCCGCGCGTGGATATCCTGTGGACGTTTTCCAGGATGTCTTGTGTTGTCTGGGTATACTAGCAAACCAGACGAACTCCGTTTCGCCACCAGATGGTTTCGTGAGAAAGATGAAGAAATTTTTTGTTTGCTTTATATTTGAAAAGGAAAAATTTGATCAGCAAGGAATTCCGACTTATTTTTATATATATAGAAGATAATCTATTTGCAATTATTTTAAACAATTATTGATTATTTTTATTACTCGGATTTTCAATTACGGTGCGTGAAGTTCCAGCAATTTGCATTAGAACACGATGCCATGCACCACTAATTTTCTTAGCTATAAACCTTGCGGAGCCCGAGACCTTTCCAACGAATGCAAAATGATCGAAATCGGTTCGTGCGTTCTGGAGTTATTTCGTCAGGAAGGAAAACCCGACTTATTTTTATATATATAGAAGAATATATATATATGTGTGTGTGTGTGTGTTTATTACTATTATTATATTATATTTTATGCAAATCTCTGTTCCGAAAAAAAGCGGAACGCCTCTCCATTGTCATTGTTTTGATTCGCCTCATTATATAAAGTTGAGAATTTAAATTAGGTAACTCCAAATTCTGGAGTACACACGACATGAATACAAAACGGAAACAAGTAGGTCTCAAGTTCCTCCTTACAATTAGTCATATAACAGAAACAAACTAGAACTAGTGGTGTATGGCATCGTGCCTTAAGGCAAATTGCTGGAACTTCCCATACCGTAATGAAATATTCGGGAAATTTTAAACGTTTTCAAATATATTATTACAAATACTGTAACTTTCATTATTTTTGCTATCTTGTTATATCTGAGCAAATCAAATGTAAATCATAAATCATAAATCATAAATCAATTTATTTCCAGAACATTAACAATCGTCATTTCATTTCGAATTCAATTTCAAAAAAATAGTTGCCTAATTTACACAAAATTGAAAAGGTGCTCCCGTATAGTCACGGTCTAAACGCATTTGCAAACAATTCTGTGCGACATTTTCACTTAGACTGTGCTTAGCTTGGCAAATTTGGAAAAGTGCTCCAGTTCATAAACAGTCTAAACGCACTCGGGTTTGTACCAGAGTGGCGCTTAGACTGTGCTTAGCCTGGGTCAATTTTTGATTTGAATTTTTAATCCAAAATTACAAAAATATTTTATGGAAAATAAAAAAAGATGTAATAATTTTCCATTTATCCTCAAAAGTAATTGTTTTGTCAATACAAGCAGAAAGTTTTTTAAATCATTCAAATCCGATACTCCGTTCTGTCAAAAACTCGATTTCTATTTTCTGCACTCTTTGCTCCATATCTCCGTAACGGCTGGACCTGCCTTTGCCAAAAACTAATCAGCACATCTCCCTATCAATAGAAATCGAGTTTCTTGAACCATTTAAATGGCTTGATCCGTGCGCCCGAAAACGTGGACGAAAAAATGCGGACATATAAAACACACACACACACACATCCATTTAGTTTCTGAGGTATGCCTTAAAAATGTTCAGAAATCTTCAAAACGTCGAGAAATGCAAAAATTTTCATTTTCAATTTTCGGCCCATTACTATAACTACCCTGCGGGAAATTAAAAAGATAATGATCTATTGCTTAGAGTGAAATCACTATTCCTTGATATCAAGCTGTCCGAATCTTTGTTTCTTCAAGGTCAAAGATCTTATCACAAAGCCATAGACAATAATAAATAAAGATAGGCATCATAAAATCTTTTTCTATTGACTTTTAATTCTCGCGCCGTCTTATAATTATATGATTATTATGACAGGTAGTAATAAATGAATAAATGAATAACGGAATAATAATTAAGTAATTCATTTACGATTTTGTTTTATTTTATTTGATTTTATTAGACAGATCCGACATGGATGGAAATGCTATTCATTCATCTTATTTTAAACAATAAGATATATAATTGCATCGGAAGTCGCCTTTCTCTTGCATAAAATAAAATAAAATATGCACATTTATACACAGACAGAAAAAGATACATATTTATACAATATATATATATATACTAGATGATATATATATATATATATATATATATATATATATACTAGCTCACCCAGAAAACGTTGTCCTGTACCTATGTCTACA